AGATTGTCGCAAGTAACCGCAGCTGTGGACAGCAGGCACAGGATACGCTACAACGAAGGTAATCAATAATAGGATAACCAATAGTTTTTTATGACAAGGGCCATATTTGCTATTAGGCTCATGTATGCCATTGGCTTTGGATGCAAAGCAAGAATGGCAGCAAGCAAGAGCAGTGCCAAACCAAAAAGAAATACCATTTTCATTTAGATATTCTCTTTCATTTTGTGAAAGCATAACTATGATGGTAGAATCTTTCATCTCATCTAACTCTGGCTACCACTAGGAACATTTGGGCAAATCCAGCAGGAGAACTGAAGAATCTACCAGTGAGAGCAGTCACAAGACTCTTTGTTTCTCCTATTTGCAGTCCTTTCATTGGTGGTTGTATTGAAATCCTACTACCTCCATGAAACACTGGTTAATATAAGTCTGTGCACAAGGTAAGGTAAAGGGTTGATTCACCTCAGGGGCAGACTGACCATTTGGAAACTTGGGCACTGCCCGATGGCCCGGGGTCAGTAGGGTGCCCCATGAGATGCCCCTGGTACCTTTTTCATAGGCTTTTTTGAGTTTGGGCAAGGACACAGGGGCCCCATGATCCCTTATTGCCTGGGGGCCCCATGAGTTGTCAGTCCACCTCTGGTTCACCTTTAGGGTAATTTTCCACAAAGCCCCCAGTCACTGCAATATCCCAAGTGCATTACATTCTACTATTCAGCTTTTTTTAATTTTTTAATTTTAACTGTTACAGGAAGTATTCCTTTGTCATTCCATACCTGTAGGCCATACATGCATTGGTCATCAAATCATTGGGTAGGCGACCCCGCCCCCCCCCCCCCCCCCCCTTTCCCATTCTGTCTGGCCTAAATGGCAGAGAGCAATGGTGGATTGATCTCCTACCTGATCACCAATGCAAGTGGAGAATTTTCTGCTACCAACGAAAGGGATGACTTCTACACTGACCAGGGGCGGACTGACCATTTGAAAACTCAGGTACTGCCCGAGGGCCCGGGGTCAGTAGGGGGCCCCATGAGATGCCTTTGGTACCTTTTTCATAGGCTTTTTTGAGTTTGGGCAAGGACGCAGGGGCCCCATTATCCCCTATTGCCCAGGGGCCCCATGAGTTGTCAATCCGCCCCTGACACTGACCACCAAAGTTAGAGGACACCACAGTTTTTACTGCCTACCTTTCTTTCTGTACTTATTTATTTCAAGAACATTACTAAAATAATTTTGTCAGGGATTGGTAACAAAATGATCTGCATGGGTGTCAAAAGTGCTAAACAGGCCACGTCATTATTCTTTTAGTTAAAACTTTCTTCAACGTACTGATCACGCTAATGTATAATGAGCTGTAGGAAACTGAATATTATTTATAGGGTTCCTTGGGGTGAAAAGGTTGAGAAAGGCTGCCCTGTACAAAGGCTATATAAAATCAGCTGTCACTTACAGCGGGCCCTGCTCTAATTAAGGTTTGAGGAGGCGTATATGCACTTAGGGCCACCAGCCTTACATATATTTTCTGACTGGCCTGGGTAGGGCAAAATGCCCCTCAGCCCAGTCCTCCCCTGGTTAGATTGGACCCAATGGGATCTGTCAGGGCTACGTCTTCTCTGGAAGGTTTGATTAACACATCCCATGCCTTTTTCTTATAGCCTCAGAAAGCTCAACACTTTCCACGGAAATAGAACAAGCCAGGCCTCAGAGCTCAGGAGAGGAGGAACTCCAGCTACAGCTTGCCCTGGCTATGAGCAGAGAAGAAGCTGAAAAGGTACGTTCCAGAACTTTGCTGATGTTGTAATAAAAAATATGGATTTAGGCGCAAGGATTACTGGTAGAAAATGAAGGCAATCCTATCGTCCGCACAAAGTGGCAGAGAATATATAAAAAATCCAGTGTGGGATATTAGGTGTAGTAACCTACACAACAACAGTGTAGACTTTAAACAACTTTAATGGAACTAAAATCAGGCAACTCACATGGTGAAGTATGATAATAAGCTCATCAAAATGTAATGTGACTGCCATATCTCCAAGAGAGGATGCTGGGGAAGACTGGGTAAGTAGCAGTTGTGGGTCGAGGAAGTCCATCCGGCACCTCTATCATTCTGTGGAGTCCTCTGGAACGCACCCCGGACCACAGCATTTGACATCCTCCAGTGTGTGACACGTTTCTGAACATGAACGCTCCTTTCTCGAGCTTCTCCCCATATTTTTTCAATGTTTTTGTATTTTGATACATACTTATTTGTAACATACAAAATTTTTAAAAATGTTATACAAAAATTACAACAAATACCCCCCCCCCCCCCCTTACTCCTTTTTAATTGTATTTGGGTTATGTTATGTGGCTGCTGATTTCATTTTTTTTTTCACAGAAAAAAGAACCTTCAGCTCCTGATCAAGAGGAAGAACTACAAATCCAAGCGGCCTTGAGAAAAAGTAAAGAGGAATATGAAACTGTAAGTATTACATGGTCCAAACACCTACCACCAATCATGCACCTTTTAGGTCAACCATAATTTCAAGGAAACTTGCTATAAGTGAAGAACTAAAAATCCAAGCAGCCTTGAGAAAAAGTAAAGAGGAATATGAATTGTAAGTATTACATGGTCCAAAGACCTTCCACCAATCATGCACCTTTTAGGTCAACCATAATTTCAAGGAAACTTGCTATAAGTGATTCTCATAGACTGTGTTTGTTGGCCTCTTGTATAAATTGCCTGTAGAGTTGTCCAAAGGGCATACTAATCTGGCTTTGGTAATTAAAGCCACTGGCTCAGATCTCGAATTTAGAAAGCCCAGGAGCCAGAGGATCACCATGATAGCACATAGAAGGTGGAGGGCAACATTGGCAGCTTCCTTTTTTGTCTCCTGGCAGCTTTCCTTTTCTGCTATTTACTGAATGTGTTCCTTCAACTTGGCACGTCTCTAACAGAAACCATCCTTCATTTAGGAGATGAAGTCACATCAAGGGGAGATATCAATAATTGAGAAGGCTCTGATAGAGACCCAGCTGTCAATGGAGCCAGAGGAGCCGGAGATAGAGAGGAAAAAAGAGGTAATGCTCTAGACTATAGAAACCATAGATCAACCTGGTCATACGTGTTATCTGTCATGTTGCGATGCACATAATCATGGCAAGGTCCAAGGTGTAGATACACATCTAGTACTAAATTCCAACCAGTTTAGTAAAATCCCATTGTGGAAGAACTCCCCCCCCCCAACACACACACACACAATCTATTGCTCTTTTAAGTCCCATTCAGATTTTAATGTGCACATCGTAACGTGCTAAAACGCATGTGTCAGCAATGGCAATGCTTACATGTGCGCTCTGCATCTCTGTGCATTTATAAAAGTAGCTCAGGTCCATTTATTTAATTCATGCGTTTTGATCCTAAATACAATTTTATTGAACAATGCTAAAAACACATCATGCAAGAAAACACATGAAAATATATTAAAAAAGCGTCAAAGCATGTGCAAAATGTGTTGAAAAATGCAGAAAAAATGCAGGAAAACAAAAATGCAAAGGTGTGAGCCTAGCCCTAGTCTAGAGAGTCTAAAAAGGTAATATTAATTCTCCCCACTTCCAAAGGCTTCCTTCCCATTGGACGACTGGTCCCATGATGCCACTTTGATGCTGCTGCCCCCTTATTGATCTCATCATGTATAATGCAGGGCCAGGAGTTCTGCTTTGTATATGAGGTCGATGATGGCCAGTCCATATACTGGGGCTGGATTGAGTGTTGAGAAGAGGGTGGGTTACTGGGGGAGAAATGAATGAAATAAGTATGTATCTCTGTTATATCTCCCTAAACTAAACCAGCATTACAGCCTTAAAGTGTTACTAAACCCCGGACCCTGCATTCACTATATCTGGTCTCCCCGGACCCTGCATTCACTATATCTGGTCTCCCCGGACCCTGCATTCTCTATATCTGGTCTCCCCTAACCCAGCATTCACTATATCTGGTCTCCCTGGACCCTGCATTCTCTATATCTGGTCTCCCCGGACCCAGCATTCACTATATCTGGTCTCCCTGGACCCTGCATTCACTATATCTGGTCTCCCAGGACCCTGCATTCACTATATCTGGTCTCCCTGGACCCTGCATTCTCTATATCTGGTCTCCCCGGACCCAGCATTCACTATATCTGGTCTCCCCGGACCCTGCATTCACTATATCTGGTCTTCCTGGACCCCGCACTCACTATATCTAGTCTCCCAGGACCCTGCATTCACTATATCTGGTCTCCCCGGACCCTGCATTCACTATATCTGGTCTCCCTGGACCCTGCATTCACTATATCTGGTCTCCCCAGACCCTGCACTCACTATATCTAGTCTCCCAGGACCCTGCATTCACTATATCTGGTCTCCCCGGACCCTTCATTCACTATATCCGGTCTCCCTGGACCCCGCACTCACTATATCTAGTCTCCCAGGACCCTGCATTCTCTATATCTGGTCTCCCCAGACCCTGCATTCACTATATCTGGTCTCCCAGGACCCTGCATTCACTATATCCAGTCTCCCCGGACCCTGCATTCACTATATCTGGTCTCCCCGGATCCTGCATTCCCCATATCATCTCCCAGGACCCTGTATTCACTATATCTGGTCTCCCTGGACCCTGCATTCACTATATCTGGTCTCCCCGACCCAGCATTCACTATATCTGGTCTCCCCAGACCCTGCATTCACTATATCTGGTCTCCCCGGGACCCTGCATTCACTATATCCAGTCTCCCCGGACCCTGCATTCACTATATCTGGTCTCCCCGGATCCTGCATTCCCCATATCTGATCTCCCAGGACCCTGCATTCACTATATCTGGTCTCCCCGGACCCTGCATTCACTATATCTGGTCTCCCCAGACCCTGCATTCACTATATCTGGTCTCCCAGGACCCTGCATTCACTATATCTGGTCTCCCCAGGACCCTGCATTCACTATATCTTCTGGTCTCCCCGGACCCTGTCACTATATCCGGTCTCCCCGGACCCCTGCATTCACTATATCCGGTCTCCCAGGACCCTGCATTCACTATATCTGGTCTCCTCGGACCCTGCATTCACTATATCTGGTCTCCCCCGGACCCTGCATTCACTATATCCGGTCTCCCCGGACCCTGCATTCACTATATCTGGTCTCCCAGGACCCTGCATTTCACTATATCTAGTTCCCAGACCCTGCATTCACTATAGGACTGGGTTTTCCCCGGACCCCTGCATTCTCACTATATCTGTCTCCCGGTGACCTGCATTCCCTATATATAACCCCCGGACCCTGCAATTCATTATATCTGGTCTCAGCACCGACCCTGCATTCACTATATCTGGTCTCCCAGACCCTGCATTCACAAATCTGGTTCTTCTCCCGGGACCCTGCCATTCATTATATCTGGTCTCCCCGGACTTCACTATAACTGGTCTCCCTGGACCCTGCAATTCACTATATCCGGTCTCCCTGGACCCTGCATTCACTATATCTGGTCTCCCCGGGACCCTGCATTCACTATATCTCTCCCGGACCCTGCATTCATTTATATCTGTCCACAGTACACAGAACATGGAAATGCAATTATTTTAGTAAATACAAACTGCTAAAATACTATATAGCAGTCTTGTGACTTCTATCTGTCAAGCAGAGTACTGGTTAAAGCTTGTAGGAGGGTTTTCATTCTTCCCTAATTGTCCTGTGAGGCTGCATAACCCCCGGACCCTCTGTCTGGACAGCACCGATTGGCCCTGTGTTGACCCAAAAAAAGAAAAAACTCTCTAGCAAAACACGCCAAACTGAGCATGTGCAGCTTGCCCCCAAGTCTCTTCTATCAGCAGATGGAATTGGGGACAGTAGAAAGGGGGAGAATCAGTGAAGAGAGGATCAAACATCCTTTTTACACAATGCAGAGGATTAACCCCTTAGGTTCCACAGTGAGTATAACAAGCATGCTTTACTGCATATATAAACTGATTGTACTGTTGTGGGTTTAGTAACAATTTAAGCTGGTAATACGCATATTGAAATTTGGCCCGGTTCAACAGGAACAAGCTTGTCTAATGACTGACTTCTGTCAAATGGTCCTGCCGGAAAAACCAGCATTTGATCAGCTGCTGCAGCCAATGGCTGGTGTACTGATCAGTATATTCTGACAGAGGATTAACCCCTTAGGTTTCACAGCGCAGTGGGGGAAGATCTATTGTGTGGATATTTTTTTTTTTAGTTCAGCACACTGTTTGAATGAAAAAACCTCAAAGTGTTTTTCTGCTTTAGTTGGGGGGGGGGGGGGGGGGGGGGGTATCTACTAAAGAGAATTTTTGTTACCCTAAAGAAAAAGTGCTTTTTTTTTTTCAATGTTATAGGCTTGCAGTAAATAAAAGTAAAAAAGAAAAAAAGAAGAATGATAATACCAGTCTGGCAGGCGATAAGTCTGATCTTCACTTTCTTGAAGAGCTAGGCTGGCTGAAGAATGTTCAGCAAACTTCTGGCAATGTCAGATGCCTGGGCACCCCGTTGCCCCCTGCGGTGCCACCCGCTGACCGCTACATTACTACTCTACAGGGACACGGTAGTAATGAAGAGGTTGGCGGGTTGAACCACAAGCATGCAGAAGACACTCAACACACCTACAGGTGACAATTCTTTATCTGGCGGAGCTCTTCCAGAAAAAGATTGTGGAGTCGCCACCTGCCTCATTCTTTTGCAGGGAGACTTTCTATTTTCTGGCAACAGATTCACTTTAAAAACACCAGGGTTGATTTTACTTTAGAGAAACAGACTGTGCACTTTGCAAGTGCAGTGGCTCCAGAGCTGAGGGGAAGCTCTGCTGGCTTCCATCATTCAATTATGTGGATGGGGGGAAACTTCGCCTCGTTTAATAAAGTCTGGAGAAACTGCACTTGCAGAGGGCAACTACGCTTGCAAATTGCACGGTCTATTTTTCCTAAAGTAAATCAACCCCATTGCTTCCATGTATAGTCTGTAATTATAAATGTAGATGGAGACAGCCATATTCATTACATACTACAGTGGTACCCTCTGGCAGGGGGGGAGGGAACTGACCATTTGGAAACTCGGGCAGTAGGGGGCCCCATGAGATGCCCCTGGTACCTTTTTCATAGGCTTTTTTGAGTTTGGTAAAAGACACAGGGGCCCCATGATCCCCTATTGCCGGGGGCCCCATGAGTTGTCAGTCCACCTCTGTACCTCGGTTTACAAACGCCTCTGTCAATGTAATTTTCGGTTTAGGAATGAAAATCCATTGAAAATAATGCCTCTGTTTACAAATTTTTTTCACAACACGAAGCAAGTTTCCGCAGGATGCATTGCGCCTGGGAGGTTTATAGCGCCGGCCCCCGTGCATGCTGGAGTCTGTGGGTAGAATGTGTGCGTCTAGTGTGAAGGTGTTGGAGCACTTTTTGCATTGAGTTTTGGAGCCATTCTGGAATTTTTTTTAATCATGTCCCTGTACAGTATTTATGCCTTTAAAGTGCACTTTATAAAGAATTTTGAACAGATAAAAGACTTTTTTTTGACTTTTTTCTGACCTCCAGAACGGATTATTGGTTTTCAATACATTTATGAATTCATTTTTAATCATGTCCCTGTACAGTATTTATGCCTTTAAATGCATTTTATAAAGAGTATAGAACAGATAAAACTTTTTTTTGAATTTTTTCTGACCTCCGGAACGGATTAATTGGTTTTCAATGCATTTACAAATTGATTTTTAATTCATTGTCCCTGTACAGTATGTATGCCTTAAAGTGCACTTTATAAAGAATTTTGAACAGATAAAAGACTTTTTTTGACTTTTTTTCTGACCTCCGGAACGGATTAATTGGTTTTTCAATGCATTTACAAATTGATTTTTAATCATGTCCCTGTACAGTATTTATGCCTTTAAAGTGCACTTTATAAAGAGTATTGAACAGATAAATGACTTTTTTTTTTTACTTTTTTCTGACCTCCAGAATGGATTAATTGGTTTTCAATGCATTTATGAATTAATTTTTAATCATGTCTCTGTACAGTATTTATGCCTTTAAAGTGCAATTTATAAAGAATTTTGAACAGATAAACGTTTTTCTGACCTCCAGAATGGATTAATTGGTTTTTCATTGCATTTACAATTAATTTTTAATCATGTCCCTGTAACAGTAACTTTATAAAGAGTTTTGAACAGATAAAATACTTTTTTTGACTTTTTTTCTGACCTCCGGAACGGATTAATTGGTTTTCAATGCATTTACAAATTGATTTTTAATCATGTCCCTGTACAGTATTTATGCCTTTAAAGTGCACTTTATAAAGAGTTTTGAACAGTTAAACTTTTTTTCTGACCTCCAGAATGGATTAATTGGTTTTCATTGCATTTATGAATTAATTTTTAATCATGTCCCTTTATGCCTGTAAAGTGCACTTTATAAATAATTTTGAACAGATAAAATACTTTTTTTGACTTTTTTTCTGACCTCCAGAACGGATTAATTGGTTTTCAATGCATTTATGAATTAATTTTTTAATCATGTCCCTTTATGCCTGTAAAGTGCACTTTATAAAGAGTTTTGAACAGATAAATTTTTTTTTTACTTTTTTCTGACCTCCAGAATGGATTAATTGGTTTTCAATGCATTTACAAATTGATTTTTATTCATGTCCCTGTACAGTATTTATGCCTTTAACCTCCCTGGCGATATGATCATGTCAGGAATTTTGTGCTGAAAGCGGTACCATTTTTTTGCATGGAAATATGTAGTTTTTAATTGTAGGCTGTAATTTTTAGGAATAACTCACTGAATCTATCCGAAAACGAGTCTATTAAACATTCCTGGATATGATTAAAACTTGAAACACGAAATCATAAATTATAATTTAATAAATAATCATAAAAAATAATAATATAATAATGATTAATTTAATTCAATAATATAATCAAATCCAAAAAACAATCACTGAAATTTGAAATACAGAGGCAAATTCGCACTTTATCACTGAGCAAAGTCACAAAATCGTTTTTCAGTGTCTGATGACGAATTTTTCCCCCGACGAATTCATTATCAACTCAATTCATGCACGTGGTTTTGATTTATACTATCGCTGTTTCTAAAACCCGCTTTTGGGCTTTTGACGTAAGGGACGCTTTTTGGACCGCCATGGACTTTTCTAAGTTTCCAGGCAGAAAGAACAGTCAAAATGCAGGCAGGGCACCGGACAAAGCAAGTAGGGACAAAATGTATGTGAAATGCAGTGAAAGCAGCAAAGACAGCAAAAATGTCATTTTTTAAAAATTTCAAATTTCCCGCCGGTTTCCGCCGCCAGAACGTTCCGACGTCACGGGGACCGGAACACGGAAGCCAGATGCCGGCATCCGCCGAGGAGGAGATGGACGGGGACACTGCAGGGGACCATCGTGTGGAGCGAAGGACAAGGTAAGTGCTGCAGGGACCCCCAGAGAACGCTGCATGGTAAGCCCGAGTGTAGCTCGGGGTTACCGTTACTTGGTATAGAAATTCTACCCCGAGCTACACTCGGGAATAACCGCCAAGGAGGTAAAGTGCACTTTATAAAGAGTTTTGAACAGTTAAACTTTTTTCTGACCTCCAGAATGGATTAATTGATTTTCAATGCATTTACAAATTTATCATGTCCCTGTACAGTATTTATGCCTTTAAAGTGCACTTTATAAAGAGTTTTGAACAGATAAGACTTTTTTTTTTTATTTTTTCTGACCTCTGGAATGGATTAATTGGTGGTTTTCAATGCATTCCCCCCATATGGGAAACTGCATTTTGTTTTTTTTGCAATACGAAACGTCCAGAGAACGCATTGCATTTGTAAACCGAAGGTACGCCTGTATTTCCTACACAAGTGTGTTCATAAAACATTTGCATAGCTGTACACCTTGGAAGCTGCATATTTATTCGCTCTGTGAGAAAACTGAGCAAAATATGTGTTTTTTATGTTCTCTGTAATTCGAATCTTGTGAACGTGAAAAATACCACAAAATGGCCACTGGGCGGCGCTAAGGAACATATTTATTTCCTATGACAGTCAGCTCTATCTAGTGGCCGTAATGTGGGATTGATTTACTAAAGGCAAATAGGACTGTAAGAGCAGCTGCTCCATGAGCTTAGTAAATGAGCAGAAGCTCTGCTGACTTCCATCATCCAATTCATGTGCAAGCAAAATGCTGTTTTTTTTTCATTTCTCTTGCAAGTGATTGGGTATTCTTCGCCTCAATTGATAAACTCTGGAACAACTGCACTTTGCAAAGTGCACAGTCTATTTGCCTTTAGTAAATCAACACACCATAGTATTTCCGCAATTACACATTCAAACTGCAAAGAGTAAACCCAGAGAAAATTTGATTTTGCCCCCATTTACACAGAATTAATTCACATGTAGTTTTGATGGATGAACAGCTATGCAAATGTTTTATAACTACTACTTCGCACAAAGTCTTCGAGTCTTACCTTTCTTCACTCCCCATGCCTCTGTTGTGTGTTACTAAACCCACAACAGTAAAATCAGTCCATCATATGCAGTAAAGCATGCTTGTTATAGTCACTGTGGAACTTAAGGGGTTAATCCTGTGCATTGTGTAAAAAGGATGTTTGATCCTGTCTTCTCTGATCCTCCCCTTCTTCTACTGTTCCCGACTCATCTTCTGTTAGAACAGAGCCTTGGGGGCAAGCTGCACATGCTTAGTTTGGCATGTATTGCTAGAGGTTTTTTTTTTTTTTGGAAGGGTGCATGTGATCAGCACAAGGCCAATCAGCACTGTCCAGACAGAGGGTCAGGGGTCATGCAGTCTCATAGGACAGTGAGAGGAGAATGAAAACTTCTTCTAAAAGCTTTAACTAACCAGTGCTCTGCTGGACAGATTAGCAGTCACAAGACTGACTATGTACGGCTGATGAGAAAAGGTATTTAGACAGTTTATATTTACTAAAATAATGCTTTTCCCATGTTCTGTGTAGTGTAGGAGACCAGATATAGTGAACGCAGGGTCTGGAGACTAGATAAAGTGAATGCAGGGTCCTGGGAGACAAGATATAGTGAATGCAGGGTCAGGGGAGACCAGATAAAGTCAATGCAGGGGCCTGGGGAGACCAGATATAGTGAATGCAGGATCCTGGGGAGACCAGATATAGTGAATGCAGGGTCCTGGGAGACCAGATATAGTGAATGCAGGGTCCGGATGGAGACCAGATATAGGAAGAATGCAGGGTCCGGGATGAGACCAGATATAGTGAATGCAGGGTCCGAGGGATATAGAGACCTGATATAAGTGAATGCAGGTCCGGGGAGAATCCGGATATCGTGAACGCAGGGTACTGGGAGACCAGATATAGTGAAACGCAGAATCCTGAGAGACCAGATATAGTGAATGCAGGGTCCGAGGGAGACCTGATATAGTGACTGAAGGGTCCAGGGAGACCAGATATAATGAATGCAGGGTCCGGGAGAGACCAGATATAGTGAAATGCAGGGTCCGGGGAGCCCAGATATAGTTACATGCAGGGTCCTGGGAGACCAGATATAGTGAATGCAGGGTCCTGGGGAGACCAGATATAGTGAATGCAGGGTCCAGGGAGACCTGATATAGTGAATGCAGGGTCTGGGGAGATCCGGATATCGTGAATGCAAGGGAACAGGGGAGACCTGATATAGT